GAGAGAGAGAGTCTTAACGAGATTATTGAAACATTTTGCAGTGTATTTACTATTACTATTTAGTGAAAGTTTGTTTGTGCTTCCCTTGACTAGATGTGGTAAATTGTGAGAGTTCCACTCTAAAAATGTTCGGGCTACGTGAATCCGTGCCGCAGCGCTCATGGCAAGGAGCTGCAGAGATGAAGTGTAGAGTGCAGTGTGAGTGCTTTGAATTTCTTCAGTTAGTTGTACATGGAGATTTTGAAGTTGAGGCCCTTTCTATTTTCTGTATTTGTAATGTTATCATCAGATGCTCAAGAGTAATTGCTATTGATATCGACCCAGCGAAGATCCAGCTCGCCCAGCATAATGCTTCTGTCTATGGAGTTGAAGAACGTATTGAATTCATTGTTGGAGATTTTCTGCAGCTGGCACCTGATCTGAAGGTCAGAACGATCATTACCTGGACCCAATGTTGTACCGACATCCAGATCTAATATAGACTAGTGGTTGCCTCAGAAGATATGTTTATTGAAGTCTTCGGTGGATTTGTGCAAAATGATGCTTGTTGTCGGTCTGATTCTCTGCTCCGTCCCCCATCCGTCCATGTGCTGGGCTGCAAGAGTGTATGTCACTGCTAATGGTCTTCTTTTTGAAAGGACTACGGCCTCGTCATGCTTTTCAGTTTTGTTTTTCAATTCACCCGGTGGAGTTTTAAACACAGTTTGGTCGCGTTGGTTGCAGCAGAGTTGTGTGAGTGGTCACGTCATCCATGGTCTTGTTGGTCCTAGTCCTTCACTTGCCATCGGAAAAATCTCAGCCGTTCGATCTATCAGATCTAGCGACTGAAAGTTTTCCCACGGCAAGTGAAGGGGGCAAGGAGTACTGGCTGAACCTGGGCATCATCTGAGCTATTCAGACCCGCCCTGAGCCCTCGTGCACGAGGCACGGCCAAGATGTCTCAGCATTGCCCAACATGGCATTTTCCCAAAACCTACACGAGCAGATTGCATTTAGAACTCGTCCTGCGACTAGACTGGAAAAACTTGTTTGGATTGAAAATCAATACTCATTTTTTGGTCAGGGATCCTTCGGCCAAACGGAAGGATGTGTGAGGGTGTTCACCATGTATTTCATTCTTGACTTGCCTGGGGAATAGGAACCGGACTGATGCTACGCAGAATGGATAAGGAGTCAGGACCATAAGGACCTGTTTTTCAAAAATATCAACCAAAAAAAAAAAAAAAAAACAACCCTCAATTTGTGATGCATGCCTGTCCGAAGACAGGCGATGCGCAGATCCCAACACACCACCAATGTGACGAGTAGGACTCCGGACAAGCAAAATGTGCATTCAGGAAACAGAATATATGATTCAATGCAGTGCAGCTGTTATGATCCTGGCCAATCTCGAGATACACATCCATCAGATAGTACAATGCCGTCCAATTGCAGAAAGAAATGAATGAACTTGAGAGGAGAGAGAGGATTAGGAGCAAGAAAGAAGAAGAAGATGATGTACACCAGCATAGACAGCGGACAAGGCTCTTCTTCTTCGCCCAACAATCTCCTCCTCCTCATCTCCCCCTTCTCTTATTTATACAAGAAATAATAATACAATGTTGAATGGCTGATCCAGAATCAATGTCCGAGTTCCTCTTCTACTGCCGGCCTCACTTGAGGTCCACCATAGCCATGGCCACCTCGAAGCTTCTTGGTGTAGCTCTCCCCAGTTGGGGACTCCCTGCTGCAGCGCCCACCAAGGTGATGAAGATGGCTGCCACCATAGCCAGGTAAGTACCCCTGGCGCTCCTCCCCCTTCCTGTCCTTCTTCCTCCTCCGTGTCCTTCTCCTTCCCCCAGCAGCTGCTCCTGGATAGCGCTGCTCCAACCGGCGCTCCAACCAGTGTGTCGCCAAACTTGCACACCGAGAATGAGGCCGGGCTCTTCGCCCGGCTGGGAGATATAGCGGCCTGCTTGCCTCTTCGGGCGGTGACTTCCAGGCCGCTCGGCCTTCCAAGCACCCGGTACCTCCTTCCTTTCGGAGGGAAACATCATTGCAGATTCTGATATTGCCCGTACAGGCCCTAGACCCAGACTGGTTGGACTGGTACCCACCTAGACCTAACCTACAACTACTGGGCCTCTAAAAATGCCACTTTTGTCTTTTTCTGCTCGGCCTCCAGTACCTGCACATCTACCTCTTCAGGGTGCGGTACCGGCCTACCCGCTACTTGAGAGTTTTTCCCACTGCCATCCCTCAATGTCACGGCCGCAGGTAAGTACCGGCCCTGAGGGCCCAATGAACGAGCAAATTCCCTTGCGGGCCACATACACACTCAAGCCAACCAGCACTCAGACAGGCACGGCCACACACACACTCAAGCCAACCAGCACTCAGACAGACATGCAGTCCAGCAAGCGTGCACACCCAGACTTAGTAGCAGGCGGGAAACTCAGCAAGGCATTCAGCCTATGGGCAAAACTCAGAAATCAGTCGTGTGTTTCAGTCCATGTTTGGACGGGTCATCACAGTAGCAGAAGACTCAAAGACGTGGTCGGACTTATCTGACTCAGACTCGATTCACTCAGACGTCATCACACATGTCAAATCAGCAAGAAGGGAGGGCATACCTGGAAGAAAGGTCCCTCCTTGCACACACACATGGGGGAATAACCACGGATGAGGGAGGTAGGAAGGAGATGAAGCGGAGGAGGGGGGAGAGAGACAAGTCATTTATTCAAACTTGTCCAAAGATAGTCTCCCGCAACAAATGGCAAATAAATCGTCTGTCCCAAAATGTCGAATCAGATCCTGGGCGCCCCAGTGCCTAAATAGCATACTTGTGGCACACGGCACCGGTGCACGCTGCGCTGCGCTATGTGCCGGGCGAAGCGCACATGTGCACGCGCGTGCAGGCATGCGCCAATGCACTGCGCGCACGTGTCCGGGTTGGGCTGGGCCAGGTGCGTTGGGAGAGAGAGAGAGAGAGAGAGAGAGAGAGAGAGAGAGAGAGAGAGAGAGAGAGAGAGAGAGAGAGAGAGAGAGAGAGAGAGAACAGGTAAGTCTC